CATAGCCAAAATTCTAGTCTTTGACTTCAAAATTCAGGTTCCAAAGTACATACTCTTTCCCTTTATACCGCTAATCAAAGACTTAATCTATTTTCAAGTTCAGATCTCTGTAGAAGACTTTTCTATGGATATGCTTACACTGATAGTGCTACACAAAGTTTCTTGAACAATTTCAATCAATAAACTAAATGAAATATGCATACTTCTCTTGGCTTCCAAGACCTGACCTTGGTTTTCCTCCTTACTCTTTCTCCATCTACCCATTACAACTTGATACTCACTTTTTTCTGATTTTACACACTATCCCTAGGAATGTCATCTACATCTAGGATCTCAATTATGACTGTTGCTGATAACTCCTGATTCTGTCTCTCCAATTCCAACACATTTTCTCTCCCTAGTTTTCCCTAATTCTCGTCAGGTCAGGTTGAATACTTCTCTAAATATGCTCAAATTATATGTACTAATTCTAATTAACATTCCTCAGCTGCAATTCTAGGTCAAGTATCCTTCCTACTTAACCCAGAATATATTCTCAGTTATCCTCAGAACATTTACCACATTCTATTACAAGTTACTTTATCCATTTCTCCCAGTGGAGAAGGCATTTGAAACAGCATTAAGTCTTACTCTCAATCCCCCCAGTGCCCAGCACAGTGCAAGATACATAATAAGCACTAAAATAATTGGAAGCGTACAATTTCTTAAATAAGTCTTTATTTTTTCAAATAGGAAAAATAGGCCAAGAAAGGTTAAGTGACTCATCCAGTCAAGGCTTCATCTCCTGAATCACAACTCTCTTCCCACAAAATCCCAGTGCCTATTCAATTATGCTTACTGATATAGCTTTCCCAGAAGTTCCAGAAGTAATACAAAAAAGTTCATTTCAATTTCATCCATTCCAGCTGGCTATATCAGTTGTAGAGAAGTGTGATGTTAATTTTTACTTAATAGTTTTTCTGCCCAGAATAGAATAATTTTTAGTTGATATAGTCTTTTCACATGTCCTTCACATACACTATAATTCAATTCAATACATATTTATCACACATTTCTTTGTGAAAAACAATGTGCAAAAATTTATCATTTGTCGGGGCTGGAGTAGTGGCTCAGCGGTAGAGCACGTGCGAGGCCCTGGATTCAATCCTCAGCACCACATTAAAAATAAAGATATTGTGTCCAACTACAACTAAAAAATAATTTTTAAAAAAAGTTATCACTTGTCAACATTCCATAAAAGTTAAGAACATATATTTTATGCTTTTTAAAAATCTCTAAAATACCTGCTTAAACCAAAATGTGATTCAGGTAACAAGATTAAATAAGAACACTAGAGATAAGCACTGCAACAACATAAGGAAAAGCCCCATAGTCCCAGAGCCACTGTTTCCAATGGTTGCTATGTATACTGCAATTGTGTTACTGGGCAACAACTCAGAAACTAGACTGGCAAACTCAAAAAAAAAAAAAAAAAAAAAACTGAATCAAACCAAGATTTTAAAATATTAAGACTCAATTTCAATTTTTTATATTTGCAACCGAAGTAACTCTTTGTTATAAGCATCAGATACAGATTTATGGCAAGATTATACAAATTACCTGGAAATTTCAAAGACCTACTTTAAGGATGACAAGTTCTTTCCAAAATGAAAAAAGCAGGTTTAGGTTCCTCCTAACCTTGAATTTAATCCAAAAGCACTTTGAAGTCACAATATACAGAAAGCAAATAACTGGACATTCTGGACTTTAATTTCTTTCATACTGAATTACAGCTCAAACTTACAAGAAATATTACTGGTCTTGACAGTTATTTTTTTCATGAACCAGAGGGCAGTACTGATGGAGGATGGATAGATGGAGATAGATATAGATATATTTCAGAGAACTGCTAATTTATGAGGGCCAGATGAAAGCACTAACAAATGTTTAGTCTTGACCAGGTCAAAAAGTAGGATGGACAGCAGCTCAGGAGGATGAGGCAGGAGGATTCTGAGTTCAAATTCAGCCTCAGCAACTTAGCAAGGGTCTCTTAAAAAAAAAAAATTTAAAAAGCGGGGAAGGGGGTCTGGGGATGTGGCTCATTTGTTAAGCACCACTGGGTTCAATCCCAAGTATCCCCCCTTCAAAAAAAAAAAAAGTAGGATGGAAAGGAATAAAATAGGGAAATGGGGAAAGAGGATGGAAGGTGGGTACGAGAGGAAAGCTGAAGGAAAAACCAAATTAAAGAAGAATAAGGAAACTGATCAAATTCGATAACCCACATGGGAGAAGTGCCAGTATGCCTGAGGGAATCCCTCCTGCTGGTACTATCATGGGAAATTCTCAAATATGCACACTTTCTAGGAACAGAGCCTTTCCCTTTGATTTCAATAAACCCCCACTTTTTAATCCCCTTTCTTATAGCTTACTGTTGTTTTTCATAAGTTAGTTACTACCCTCTCTAAACAATGTTCTCACTTCCCCTATGCTATAGAATGGGGTAAGCATAGAAATACATATTCATCATCTTTGGGAAACATTTATTTAGCAGTCTCTATTTGGAAGAAACTAAGGATATAGCTTACTGAAATTTGGTGTTTTGCCCTTAAATAGCTCAGAATCTAGTTAGGAAGGCAAGACAAAGTAATGTAACAAAGTATCAAATAAGCATGACTCACAAATGTGTATTACAGCCAGGCAGGTAGCATACTCAGAAACTCAGGATGCTGAGGCAGAAGGATTACAAGTTTGAGGACATCCTTAATAACTTAGCAAGGTCCTGTCTTAAAATATAAAAACAGTCTAGGGATGTTGCTCAGTGGTAAACCCTCCCCACCCAAAAAATATAAGATTTTAGAGGTCATAATGGAATTGAACCGTATAGAAATTAAGATTTTAAGAAAGAAAGAAAGAAATCAAGAATATAAGCTTGGAATGACAGGTGAGAAAATTAAGAATTCAAGTAAGAATTTCAATTAGTAAAACCTTTTTACATGGATACATATATACACATTCTCTAGAAGTACACACAGGTTAAACAAGGTAAGAAAATTACTTACTAAGCCTAATACATTACATATAACAACATTAAAACCAAATTAATTTACTTTATGCAAAGAGACAGTGTCTGAGGAGCAAATTTTTGACAATTCACTAATCTGTTAACAATCATTCTTCTGGCCCAGCCCAGTGGCATACATCTATAATCCCAGTGGCTCAGGAAGATCACAAGTTCAAGACCAGCCTCAAAAACTTAGCAAGGCCCTAAACAATTTAGTAAGATCCCATCTCAAAACAAAAAATTTAAAGGGCCGGGGACATGGCTCAGCAGTTAAGCGCCCGGGGTTCAATGTCCAGTATAAAAAAGAAGAATTAATTCTTCTAAGCTTCTTGAATTAGACCTTTCTAATGACATAGTTCCATAATTCTGATTTCTAATTACTAATAACTTTATTACACAACATGAATTATTCTTGATTTTTTTCTTCTTTGTCTTGCCTAACTTCTGAATATTATTTCAACATCAGCATAAGGGAGGTAGGGAGGACACTAAAATGAAGTCTATAGATTTTAGCAATACCAAGGGTATTAAGTACACTTGGAAGTTCCTACTCCCCATTAGTAACAATTCAGTTTCAAAGAGGTCATTTGTCCCAATCTCAAATCTCCTCACATATTTACTAGAAAGGCTACTGCATTGAAAGGATCATTTTAAAAGTTCTGAAAACTTGGTTAGGCAGGCATCCTCCCAGAAGGTCAAGAGGCTGAGGCAGAAGGATCTGAATTCAAAGCTGCCACAGGAAATCAATGAGGCTCTAAGCAATTTACCAAGACCCTGTCTCTAAATAAAATATAAAAAAGGGCTGGGGACGTGGCTCAATGGTTAAGTACCCCTGGGTTCAATCCCTGGTACCAAAAAAAAAAAAAAAAAACCTGCTGAGAACTTAGTTTGTCATATAAATTATATAATTAGGGGTTCAATGAGTGGAGAGTGAGGTTACATGCTAGATCAAGACTTAAAAAGTACTTGTAAATAATCAATATTTAAATCACCCAAATGCTGTAGGTTACTCTAAATTGCTACCATGCTGTTATTTGAAAATAGTCCTAAATATAGTCAGCACACCTCAACTAGAAAATACTCAAAATAACAGGACTATCCATCATAATAATCTATGATAAACAAAAAGCAAATAAAAATCACTTTCAACTTTCAGAAGACTCCTGTGCAACACTGAAATTTAAAACATTTCAATGATTCTAAACAAAATGTTTCAAATCAAACCTGAATACAAAAAGTCAGTTATTAACCATAACTACGTAGGCTAAACCCATGAATTTAAATAATTATGAACCCACATAATTGCAGGAAAGAAACATTTAATATGTCCTAGTTGAATATTAGATTTGTTTACAATTTTGTTGCTTGGTAACAGAAGCAACTCAGTTTTAGACCTAAAGTACTGTGTACTCACTCACAGTCTGAACAAATTATGAATGTATCATATATGAAAAATTCAAAACAAGTTTCTCCTTATCCTAGACTTCTTTGAAATTATTTGAAACAGCTTAATCCTTACAAGTAATATGACCAAAAGCTTTTAAAGTATTTATCAATGGATGTTTTTAAGAGCAAAGTGTCCATTTATTCTGTCAAAACTTGGACACTAAAGATTTATCAAAGTATCCATTGGAGCCCAAAATACACTAACATGTTGGACATTACCCCAATAGCATTCGCAGACATCCTTGTCTTCAAAGCCAAGAAAAATGGTACCATAGCTTTTTCATCACAAATTATACTGAAGATGCCAGACCATGACGGAGTGCATCAAAGAGCTCCATAATTGTGTGTGCACTTAATTGGCTACAGAACACGTCTCGCTTTTCTAACACGTGGTCCAATTACTTTATAACCAAGTAACACAAAGGGAGGGAGATGAAGGGCAATCTGGCGGGGGGCGGGGAGAGTATTCCAAAATATGAATGAGACACGGTCCCTAGAAAGAGACTTTACGTACCATACTCTCACACGGTCCTTGCAACGTGCGCGCAGGAAACTTAACCGTGACGGGTGTTCTGGCCGCACTCGCCCCCGGAGGACACCTCCACAGCTCCAACCACCCACACCCACTCAACTTTGTTCGCGGAGGCATTGAGGCTGAGGGACAGAGTCCTACAGCAGGGGTGTCCGCCCCGCCCGCCACGTCTCGCGAGTCTCAGCGGCCGCTCACGCCGCAGGCAGCAAAAAAAGGTGCAGGAGGACCGAGGAGTCTCAAGCTTGAGACCCTGGGGAAATATGAGGTCTCCCGGTAGAGCCACGAGACCGGAGAGGGCGGCCGCAAAGAGCCCCCGCTCCTCCTCGGCGGACAGGGTCCCTCAAGGTGCCGGGCCAGACCCAGCGCCGAGGTGCGGCCAACTCGCCGCCTCGGCCCGACGCCCGACGCTCCCCCACCACCAAGGGGCCGACCCGGTCCCGAGACCCCGCGGCGGGCTAAGCCGGAAGTCCCGCCCCTACGTGGACGTCACCGACGCCGCGCGCGCCAGCCACGGCCGGAGCGGTTAGAGGGAGGAGGCGGACCAACCGCCCCGGGAGCCGAGGTGTCTGCGGCGGGAACGGCGGTCATAGTGGGGCTGGGGTGGCCACAGAAATTCTCCGGAGCCCAAGGGAAGGGCAAGCCAAGCGCCGGGGCTCTTGTTTCAAGGAGCCAGAGTGACGCGCGACGTTGGAGCGGGAAGCCGGGCCCCCTGGCGTCCGCCCGTTGCGGCGTCTTTGGGGTGGTTCCTCCGCGCGCGCCTTTCGTTACTCTGCCCGCTCTTTCTGGGCTTCCTGAGGGCAGGGATGGGAGTCCTGCCGCTACTCTGCCCGCCAAGCCCGCCTGCTGTCCTGCCTGCGTGCACGTTTGCGAGCTCAAGAAGTAGTCTGCCCACGACGTCTGCCGTGGGGCATCACCCTCGAGCTGGGAGTGGGCCCAGCGGGCCTCGAGGGAACTCTCAGGTCAGGACCAAAGACCCAGGAGGGAATCCTCCCCGACCCCTCACCTCCTGCCTCGAATCTCAGAGTAGTTGCCCTAGGGTGATCTACTTACCTTCAGGCTGTAAAGTAGGCTTGGAAGTTGAAAGGGTACCACCGTTTGAGAATACTGTTTGTAACCCAAGGGCTGAAATAAGACAGGCTTCTTCCATCCTATCAAAACAGATAGGGAAAGAAATAAGCACCCTTTCTTTCCCACGTGTTCAGTACCTTAGAGTTTGGATTTTGGTTCTCACTACTTTGTGAAGCACAGCTAATTGTTACCTGCAAGATTAATATATTCAGGTTCTAGTTGTGATTAGAAAGGCAACTGAAAAGTGATATTTTTGTTGAAACGAGAAAAAGTGGCCATGAGAAATGACAGTGTTAAAAGGATGGATTATATAAATGAGACACGGAAGATACATCCATGAACAGGAGGATTCAGAAGTAAATTGGTGTATATGTATTGTGCTGAGCACTTATGCATCAAGAGCTGGAGTGCTTTTTCAGATTATGTTATTTCTTAGTCCCAACTCTTAAGATAAATACAATTATCAAAACCATTAGTTATAAATGTTGGAATCAGACAACTCCATAACTCTTAGTAGTAACCAGTAAACTATACATTACAAATCATGGGCCAGTGAGAAAAGAAATCAAGAAACAGTAGGCATTGAAGAGAACCTTTACATATATCTAATTTCTTACACCAGAATAAATACTTAATGAATCAAAGATTTAAAGAATACTGTAAAAACAAGCAAATCAAGGTGAATGTTTTTGTAATCTTGAGGTTAGGCCTTCTCCAAGTATGAAATAAAAACTAGGAATTATAAAATTGAAAAAATAAATTTAAATACATGAAGATTGTAATCTATAAATTTGAAAACAGTGAACCAAGGGAAAATAAATTGTCATTTCCAAAAAGAAGAAAAACAGAAAGAGCTCGTAGAAAATCAATTAAAACTTAAAGCCAGGTACAGTGTTTCACACTCCCAATCTCAGTGAATCAGGAGGCTGAGGCTAGAGGAACACAGAGGCCAGCTTTGCAACTTAGGGAGACTCTGTCTCAAAATTTAAAAAGGTGGTAGGGGTGTCCTGCTGGCAGTGTAGCTCTGTTATAGAACACCCCTGAGTTTAATCCTGAGTACCAGGAAAAAAAAAAAAAAAAAAAGACTTAAAACCCTAATTTAAAAATTGGCAAGAGATAGCAATAGGACATTCTTAAGCCAAAAAAAAATCCAGTCATCAAAGATGTCCAACTTCCAAACATTTTTTTTCTCCATCCTGAAGATCAAACTCAGGGCCTTATGCAGGCTATGCAAGTGTTCTGCCAATGAGCTACATCCCCAGCCCCTAAACAGATTTTTTTTTTTTTTGGCCTATCAGTATTGATATGTAGGAATACAGTTCCCATCCTACACTATTGATGTACAGATGAAATTGCTACAACCTTATTTACTGAAACTGACATGCATTAGCCTTTGCCCCAGAAGTCTTATTTCATAAGGCAAGAAAAAGAAGAAGATTCACAGAGATATTTTTGCTACCTTTTTTTAATAATAAATGTCTCTAAGGGCAATATAAATAACATCATTAGGGTGCTAATTAAGAAAATTATGATGCATGCATACTGTAATCCCAGCAACTTGGACAATTAGGAGGATCACAAGTTGTCTAAGGCCAACCTGGGCAAATCTGTATCTCACAATAAAAAAGCTGGGGACGTAGCTAGTGGTAGGGCACTCATTTGTTGTTAAATTCCTAGTGGTACCTGAGACAGCAGTCTGAAAGGATGTCAGTCAAAAATGCAAGTTTTTATCTTTGGACTTTTCTACCTTGTTTGAAGAGTTTATTAAATAATAATTTATCATTTTTACAAAAAGATGTGCCAGAGAAAGGAGAGTCAACTTACTGCAGGTAGGTAATGTGGGAATCTGAGTCTTCACTTTTTTTTTTTTTTTTTTTTTTTTTTGGTAGTAGGGATTGACCCAGGGACACTTACCCAATGAGCTACATTCCTAGCCGTTTTTATTTTTTGAGTCAGGGCCTCACTAAGTTGCTTAGGTCATTCCTAAATTGCTGAGGCTGGCCTTAAACTTCCCACCCTCTTATCTCAGCTTTCCTATTCACTGAGATTATAGGCATGCACCAACACAATCAGCCTCGCCATTTTCCCCCCAGACATTTAAGTAATACAGAGTACCAATCCTATACTGTTTCAGAAAGCAGAACAGTAAGAAACCCCTTAACTCACATGAGACCAGTATAATCCTAATACCAAGATTTGACAACATTTTACAAGAGAATTACAGACCAATGATCCTCATGAACATAGATTTTTAAATTCTTAAAATATTCACAAACTGAACCTTACAACATCAAAGGAACTCTGACCAAGGAGAGTGAACTTTAACATTGAAAAAATCAACTTGATTTACCACATTAATCAGAGAGTAAACAAAATGATGGTCTCAAATGCAGAAAAAGCATTTGACAAAATTCAAAATCCATTAACATTAAAAAATCTTTGCAAGCCAGGAACGGAAGGAAACTTTCTGTATCAGATAATGAAAATCTTTGAAAAACTTAATGGTGAAATAGCAAATCCTTTCTCCTGAGATCAGGAACAACATTAAATACTTCTGAGCCAGGTATGGGGTGTATACCCTTAGTCTCAACACAAGGCTGAGGTAGGAGGATCACTTGAGCCCATGGGTTGGAGACAAGCCTGGGCAACATCGCAAGAGCATGTCTTAAAAAAAAAAAAAAAAAAAAAAACCCTGCTCTCACCACTTCTAAGGATATTGGAGGGCCCTCATCTATGCAGTAAAATAAGAAAAAGTTTGGAAAGATTTAACACTTTCTGATTTCAAAATTTGCTACAAAGCTATCATGACTGATGGTACTATACTGGCATAAAGACAGAAGCATAAGTCAATGAAATATAATTGAGAATACAGGAATTAAATTTTCTGTGTATGGTCAGTGACTTTGAACAAAAAGTTCTGAGCCAGTTCAACAGGGGAAAGTATAGTCTTCAACAAATGGTGCTGGGGAAACTGGATATACAAAAGGAAAAGAAAGAAGTTCGAACCCTGCTTCACACCATTTACAAATATTTTTAAGAATCAAAGATTCAAACAAAAGCCAAAACTATAAAACTCATAGGAAAAAAAACATAACCATAAATTTTCATGACTTGAATTACTCGAGAGTTTCTTAGATGTGATCCTAAAAGCAAAAACCACCAAAGAGAAAAAATAAGTTGCACTTGATCAAAATTTAAAAATTTTGTGTTTCAGCTGGGCACAGTAGCACATGCCTGTAAGTCCAGTGACTCAGGACGGAGACTGAGGCAGGAGGATCACAAGTTCAGACAGCCTCAGGAACTTGGTGAGGCCCTAAGAAACTTAGCGAGACCCTGTCTCAAAAAAGGGGGATGTGGCTCAGTGATTAAGCACCCCTGGATTCAACTCCTGGTCTAAAAAAATTCTGTACTTCGAAGAACACTAGGTACACACCATTGATCCCATATATATCACCACAAAGTAGATATATAAATGACACATGAAGATATACTCAACATCACTAAGTCCTTAGGTTTTGAATCACAAGGTCAGGCACATTGGTGTATGTCTATGATCCCAGCAAATCAGTAGGCTATGACAGGAGGATCACAAGTTCAAGGACAGCCTTGGCAGCCTAACTAGACCCCCATCTCAAAATTATTTTGAGAATGTGACTTTGTGATAGAGTGCTTGCCTAGCATGCAGAAGGTACTTGGGGGGAGGGGGGATTGGTATCACTTTACTATGTTGTCTATAATCAAAGAGACAATAACAAGTATTAGTAAGGATGTGAAGAAATTGGAATCCTCATATCCTGGTGGTGGGAATGTAGAATGATGCAACATCTATGAGAATAGTTTTGCAGTTCTTTAAGAGATTAAACAGCATTGCCATATGACCCAAAAATTCATTCCTTGATATATATCCTTGTGAACTTAAAAACATGTTCACTCAAAAAATTTATATATATGTTCATAGCATTATTTGTGATAATCAGTAGAAACAGCACAAAGGCCTATCAACTAACCAATGAATAAATAAAATGTGGCATATCCATATCATGGAATAGTATTCAGCCATTAAAAGGAATGAAGTACTGCTCCATGCTACAACATTATATGCTAAGTAAAAGTCATATGATTGCATTTGTTTGAAATACCCAATATAAGTAAATCCAAAGGCAAAGAAAGTTGACTGGTGATTTTCAGGGACTGGGGACTGGGGAAATAGGAGTGACTGCTAATAAGTGGGTTTATATTTAGAGTGATAGAAATATTCTGGAATTATATAGTGATGATTGCACAATATTGTG